TGGACATGAATTTGAATGTTGATTAAATCGATTATGTTACCATTAAGCTGTCAGCTACGAACATATATCATAGTCTTCCACTTTTACATCTATAACCAAGCCAAAGTATAAAAAAATATTCATACCAATTTTATTTAGGTTCATCGTTTAAAGTTAACTAGAATGATTCCTCTTGAATTCGAATAATTGTTTATTCGAAGGAATGTTAAATACACCTCAGTACTGCACAGGTTGCGCCATATTTACTTATGTATTTTTTTTTCCTTTTATTAATTAATTATTTTTTTATAACCGAGCTTTACCATCCGCCCATGTCTACGTATATATTAGTTTATATGTTCCGAAAGTCACAAGATGTTACCAAGTTAGTCTCTTCCTAAATTTTATGGTTGTACCAGACCTTGCCACCCAGCATAATGTTTGTAATAAAAATTCTTCGTAATCCTGTATATTTTCATATTATTCCAATGGTCTGAATAATCGCATTTAGATGGAATTCCACTTCGTAGCTATAAAGTTACTTACCTACTTTTCAGCGGTGCGTTTTTAAATTAAAATTTTTAAGTGAACTTACCTCGATTCCATCAACTTATATAACTTGGTTTATATTTTTCTGAAAATGTGTTGTGTGTCTGTTACAAATTGTATAAGTTTATCAATCCCACCTGTGTTCTGATTTAAAATCGTAGGATTTTATATCAGACTGATTTTGTGATTTACAATTTAATCAAACAGATTGCTCATGTTTGATTAAATTGAAAATGTCACCCCTTAGTTTTTCTTGACGTCCTAAGTGCACGTATAAACACAAATTAAGTTTTCTACGATATTATCCAACCTAAGGGTATTATTGTAATGAGGATTTGTGGCTCTATCGGTAGTAATGTGTGTGTGATACATGACATAGTAATCAGTCTCGAACTGAGGAGTTCCAAGGCGGTCTTCTTTGGAAACCTACGTGGTTAATTCATATATATACGTACTGTATAATAGTTATCCTATCATCTTTTGATGGTGTCCCAACTACGTATATTGTTTTTACAAAAAAAAATATAGTTATGAAATTGCGTTGTATATTTGTGAAGTTATATATAAAAAAGTATAATGCATAAAGAACTGTGAGTGATCAGTATGTTGTCTAGCCTTGCAAAAATAATTTTATAGTAAGTAGGTATGAGATGATAATGAATTAACTTGTGATTATATAGGTATACCTAGGTAAGTATTGGTATGTATCTTCAGTCAAGGTTATCCAGTTTTTTATAATGATGAATAATATTTTAAACAACTTTGCGGCTGTTGGTCATGATGCGTACCTGTACTTGAGTAGGTATATACCTAGGTTATTTACGTCTTAATAGGTCGGTATTCGGTATTTATAGTAATAATAAAAATTTGCAACTACATAATTTATATATATATATACAATTACATAAATACGTATTTAGCGACAGAATTTACTCTAAAATGGACTGCAGTAGTGACGAAATTAGTATGGAACTTAAAACTTGGGAGGAATCTCCAATTACAAAATAACCAAAATTAATGAATCCCTATCAATATTGCTTGCATTTCAAAAAATCCCTAATTCGACTAGAATTAGTAACATTTTTTTAAATCAAAAGTAAATATTTTTCAGAAAGTATTCGTACGCACCAAACAATACATCTTGAAAATATTTAAATTTTCCTTATATTATATAGAATATATCTACCTACGTACCTACTAATAATAGGAATACGTGTCTCTATAGAATACAAAAAGCTCTTTGGGTATATTTTTTATTGACATTTTTATTGTGTACTATGTTATATACGAAAACAATTTACATAATTGATAAATGATCGATTTATCGATATTGTACATTGTTTCATTTGTTTCCTTTAGCAATATTTTAGTATAAATATTGATCATTAAACATATTTTTTTAAATAAAAATAATAAAAAATGTCTGTATATGAGGTCCCAGTAGACAGACAGTGCAAAAGGGCAAAAGCCTTGGCTCAACGGGCCAAGTTCACTCACCTCACCTCGGCCAAAACCAGAAAGAACGCCACGACCAATCACTTTCTACTCATACATCACCACTGTGTCACATCGAACACTGTTCAACAACTATTAAACACGTATTGTATTGTTTAAACACAGTTTTCGTAGAGCAAAACATCGGTAATTGTTGTTAAATAAAATCGGATCGAGTGGAAAACACATCAAGTGAGTACGGAGGCTCACGACAACTCACAAACCCGTTTTCCCTCTCTCTCGCACTGGAGTTTTATACGGTGTTGCCGCGTAATGATTTTCATTTCCTTAATGACTGTTGATGTAGGTGTGAGAAGTGACGTTTAGCAGATAAGGACATTTTAACAGAAATACTCCGTAATGAAGTGGATTACACCTGATACTGACTGTATATGACTCCCTCATTACATTTGTGCATGACTTTTCGGCATTATGTTTCAGTTATAAATAATACATTCCTTTTCTAATTATCATCTTGAAGAACCGGCAAGTTTAGGAACACTGGACCGGTTCTTCTACTCTATCGAACAAGTCAGTTAGACAAAAGATATTAGTGGCCGAGTTTCTTATGTAATCCAGTATCGTTATGCAATTAATTATCTGATGTAATGATAATAAATATAATTCTATATTTAATCGCAGTCATTATAAATTGTTACAGATAGTGTACATAACATATTTGTATTGGTTCTGGATTATGCAGGTACCCTGTTATACCTACTTAATTAGATTCTAAAAGATTATGAAAATCCAATTCACTCCCACTATTTATAAAAAGTTTGAGTATGAGATATGTTTAGAAAAAGAGATTTCGGGATGATATCCGATGTTCGTCCATAATCAAAAAGATATGGCATCTTTGCCATATTATGGGGAAATTTTATAACAAAGCAACATTGGTCAGATATATAACCTCAAAAACTGTTGATCTATTTATTCATGATCAAGAACCAAGAAAAAGTAGCAGATCACCATTTGTTTGAAAATAAAGTTCTTATATCCTAGAGTTTTTATTACATTGTACTCACCTGTATCTTATTATCTAAGAAACTTGTGGTATAACAAAGTTTGTAATTTTTATAACTTAAAGGTAAGTAGGTAGCTAAAATTATGCTTACGTACTTACACTTTTTAATGATGAGTGTTATTGGAATGGTGCAGACGTCTGACCTAACGGTATATGCTGGCCGAGCACCAATGGAACATGACAGGATGAGGATGAAACCACGATGGTGGTGGACCTGACATAGTGTATTGCTAACAATTGGGCTAGCAATTAACCCATTACTAACAATCCCTTCTCAGGCGTATTGATTCTTAGTATGGATTCTGAGATGAAGAAGTATACCTAGAAAATCTCCCATGACTATATTACTAAACTGTTATTGAATATTAAGCTCTAAGCACTGAATGGAGAGATAAATTTAACATGCTAAACGTTAAAGCCTCAATCATGCTCTCTGTGTAATCATATTAATACCCACATCATATAGATAAAGCAAACGACTTGTTGCACACAGCGATCTGAACATTATTTCCTCATTCTGATGTTATTCAAATAACTGTAGTTAATTATTACAGTACCCTAACTCATATTATAATGAAAAGATTTTATTTTAATATATGAACTCAAAAAACAGTCGATTTATAAAAATATGTATTTTACTAGCTGTCCCGGCAAACGTTGTTTTGCCTTAAAATAAAAAAAAAATTAGGGATGGACTACCCCTAACATTTAGGGGGATGAAAATAGATGTTGGCCGATTCTCAGACCTACTCAATACGCTCACAAAATTTCATGAGAATTGGTCAAGCCGTTTCGGAGGAGTATGAGAACGAAAACTCTGACACGAGAATTTTATATATACCTAAGATAATATGTTACATATTAAAAGAAAAAAACATAGGCCGTATGCATTAAACACGAGAATTGCGGAATGCAATTAGTACTAAATAATTATATAAAAGGGGATTACAAAATTGATTAAGCGGATTTATAAAACTGTATCGATTTATAGCGAAAATAGAAAGAAACTCTACCTATTTGGTGGTCACAATGTTTCAAATACCTCTACAGCATTTTTATGGTTTCTTGAACAGTATAATTACAACTGTGCTAATTGTTATTGATTAGAACTGACCGTGGAACAATTTTAAACTAGCGTTAATAACATACCAGTACCATACTCTACACCTGACGATTATATTATGAAAACAAGTAATAAAAGATCAACTACGACCGTTAAACACCATAACGTGTCTATGTCTGCCTATCTGACATGTAAACCACAGAACACGGATTTTAATCTGTGGTATAAACACTAAATTAATGCATTTGTTCATATTAACCAAGTGTCAAACGACATAGGTACTACATGTATTAAGTATTAGGCATCTAGTTAGAAATAAATTGTCCGAGTTGGTACTTCAGTCTCACTCATTTCAGCAGCCAAGCAGGTTGTTTTCTAATACTAATAATAATAACCCTGGCTAATTCACACAGCGTCATTTAGGGTAAAGCTAATCACAGCTTGTGTTATGGGTACGGGATAACTGATACAAATACATAAATACATTTTCGGAAGTAAGGCGATGTGTAGCCGGTAGACTCCGCAAGATCATCGAGTCCGTCGAGGCTGTAAACTGTGATTCGGTTGTACGGTGAGATTCGGTAGCGAATTTATAGTAAAACGTTATTATATATTAATTTTCTAGAATAAATGATTCAAACACACAAATAGTATGCCAGCCGTCACATAATAATGTGATCTCCTTGTTATTTTTCATGTCATCGTCTTGTTTGCATTGCAATTACAAAAAAACTATGAGTGCAACTAAACTATTATGCTGTTTTTCTTGAGTATTATATATACATTTACATGCACATTTAAAAAGAAATTGGATAAATAACATTTTACACGAATAGTTCATTAATATGGTTGATTATTTTCATTAATCGACAAATAAAAACTACTCACATAACTTTGTTTCGCTGCGTCTTTTCACCCGTAGCTTGATCACACACGACGAGATGCACTGTAACAAATAAGATATAGAAAGTTTTCAAACCTTATCTTATACCTACTTATATGTTCAGTCGTACTCAGTATTACATCTTTAAAGCTTACTTCTAAGCTTATGAACTCATTTTTACCAATTGTGTTTTAAAAGAGGGAGATTAAAGATTTTGTCTTTCAAAACGAAATAGAGATCAAAGTAAGAATGAACTTTAGCAAAAGTAATATATATATTTTAAATCGGTTAAATCGGATGTGCGAGAATATTGTGTAAGAAGCACAAAAAAAAATACAATTCAATTGAAAATACACGTCTCAGCGCAGGTATTCTAACGTTTAAAGTTAGTAGAATATAATAGATCATATATGTAAATGACCGTTTAAGTTATTACAAATCAGTAAACCAGGGAGCTCATGGAGGATTAATAAGCATTTAGAAAGTTACCTCCATTAATTTAAAAGTTTTAGATGAAATAAGAGAAATAATGCTATATTACGCTAAAAATATGAACGATTGGATTAAAAATCTTGATACAGGTGAATATATTACAGATTTTTGTATTATTAGTAAATTAAGTATTAACCAACTGCAGTCTTCCAAAATATTACGATCAGAAAACGGATGTGAAAGCATTTTATTTCATGAAGTGGAAAGATATTGGTTCAGAAAGGACCGGGGTGTGCCCGAGTTCAGGAAATTGCCCAAATTGTAGGACTGGGCAAACGATTTAGTGATTATGAAGATTCGAATAAAATTATTGTAGGAAAATTTTAACTTAAATAATATAATATTATGATCATATATAGTGTGTATAGTGTGTATGACATCACAAAATACTTTATGGTTTGTCATCATTTCTAACTACTAAGGTGTTCTGCTTATACCTAGTAATTTCACTGCCTTATATCACCCTTCAATTTGGAACCAACAAAAATAGACGTCGAATGTGATTAGCTATTACCCGCGACATCGTCCGCGTGAAATTTAACTTTATTTTTTTAAATAAAAGTAGCCAATTGAAAGTTCCGTCAAAATGGGTCTAGCTGTATTAGATATTAGCAAGAACAAACAGACAGATAAATATACGATTATATATACACACTTTGATTTCGTTATTTGAATAGACTTTATCTGGAGACTTTTCATGTGACATGCAAAATTTTATATAATTTCGATTAGGTCTTAAATCAATTACATCAGTATTGTAACCTCTTTTTACAACAGAAATTAATAAAAATTAGAGTAACCATCGCTAATGCTATCTATATTCTATGATGATATATATGATGATCTATATGATATAGCAAAAGAAAATAGAAGAACGTTTTTTACCTCATGTATATGTCCCAAGACTTCGGTCCTTGACATATCTTCAAGCTTGGTCTCGTTGACATCCATGATTTCGTCAGCTAATTCCAAGTTGTCCCAATTGCCAGCCGATGGTGAACCTAAACGTAATTGATAGAAAGGATATTTTAATTGTTATTAATATAATATGGAATAAATTAAATAATAGGATATTTAATTTATTCCATATTATATTAATATCATTATATATTCAAAATTCGTATATAATGATTAAATGAAAGATATTAACATATAAAGTTATCAGAATCTATATCGTTATTTCGATGAAGTTTTAATGTATCGGCTAGTTTACATTTTTACAAAGTTATAATTTAGAATCAGGCGCTGTACAGTAATATTCGAGAATACTAGTCGAAAATTAAACTTTTATTATTTGTAGGATTTCTATGTCTAATGAATATAGAGTAGAAATAGCCCCGCTGTTTCATTCCTAAATAATACAGGATAATATAAAACAACAAAATTTTACTATGGAAATTCAATACTATACTACTATACGCACACTACTGTGGAAAACCATACGCATATAATATATATACTATGATGCCCGTATAAATAAATAAAAGTAAGTAAATATTTGCAGAAGTTTATTTATTTTATTTTATAATCGTACAGACAGACTTTTACTTCTTTCTCGCTTTAGTTGAAGAAATTTATATAAGTTATACTTTACCTACTTTCTTAATATTTGTCATCCCCGTGTGTTCGTTTATAAAAAGCTTTATTAAAATTTATAAAAGTACCTAAAACTAAAAAAATACCCTTTCACAATATCGTTTTCCTGGGAACAATAAATTAAGTGCCTACATGATATTTACGTCATGTTGAAGGCCGAGACTGTACCATTGGGGTTTTCGCGACATGTATATTCATGATTTTTATGAAAATTGCTTTATTTCATCATTTTACTCGCTAAAGTTATAAACGAAATTATAATAAAGCTACGAATAACATTATTAAAAACGTAGTAATTTCCTTCGGTTTTGCTTGCTTTCCATTAAATGATAGAGTGGAAGTTAGTATGAAACTAGGATTTAATTTTTAGTTAGTCAGTGCTTTTTAAATTAGGGACTAGTGCCCTTATTATTAACACTATATTTATACCCTATTATATTTTTACAGAAGGTGCTGTAATAATGATCCGGTTTGCGTTGAAGGTAATGGACATAAACAATTTAGATTATTAGTAGGTAAGTTAAGTAAGTTTGACCTTTCAGTCAATAATTTTTTTGATTACGAAAGGACAAGATACGCCTTCATCTGCATATATATATGCTAAAGATCGTCGTAGATATTCTAGAAAGAAGTTTGTTTATGCAAAGACAAAAATAATCTAACCCACTCGGTAGGTAACTATTAAAATTGGACTAACTTGTGAATCAACTTCTCTGTCGTCGAAAAGGAAAAGCAGTCTTTTTAGAAATTCTTTCTCACCCCGTCGCGTCGTCAAAATTTTTAGAGGTAACGCCCGAACGAAAGATCCTAGGTTATCTCTTTCGATAGTCAGGAATTTTTGTCCGCAGGCATAATAATAGTCCTCTCGTTATCGGTAAGGTTTAGTGCTATTAGTTTCAATACTAAATAAAATATCACGTATTGTGCACACTATTTACTTATTTAACTTACTTAAATATAGGCGAGAGAATAGTAATGATGGTTAACCTAGAATGTATATATACAGTGTCAGCTGATAAAATTTATCACAATATTTTAGAATACAACCAGAAAACTAATATCGTTTTTAATATAATACAACTTACCGTATAATTTCACTCTATTATCCTTGGTTTGCACCACTATAATCACGTATCCCTCCAAATCTACCGATTTACATTTTACTGTTGTCATTTTATCTATTGCATTAATTTGGGTAGTGGGCGCGTTAAAAGAATTCATTTTGTATTATTTTTGTTATAGATAAAATTATTTTTTAATATCTATAATTATCTATACACAAATCAGCTAGGAATAACTTATTGAGCGTTCTCCAGTCGAGGTGACATCGTCTGTCTCGTAGCCCGGCCAACGCTTCCTCCAGCACCACTTCAAGCAAAATTTACCCTTGAAAATACTTTTATAACAATACATTTTGTAAAAAGATTCACACATAATCTTGAAATTAACCAGGTGATAGTAAATCGGCCATTATTTTCTCTACTTTATTTAAATAACAGAGAAAAAAATACACTCTGAATACATCGGAAGGTTTACTATCACAATTATTCACTTAATTTAATTCTTTCTAGAAATTATGGCATTTCAATGGTACTGAAAACTAATTTCTCTTGCTTTTTCACTATGTCTTGTCACATTTTATAGTGTTTCATGTTAGCGCGATGGTTATGCACTGATTCTACAATGAAATAAAATATATTGTGTAGTTAATTGTTCGCGTACGCGTAGACGGGGACTTTTATGTGTTTTTTTTTTGGTTATTAAACTACTGTTTAAGGCGTATAAGCGTGTTTTGGAGATTGAAAAGCGGTCCCACGTCCGCGGGCTGGGTGTTCGCCGCGAATGGATACGACCATCCCATTTTCGCGCGATCAATAATGCTCCCTACTCAGCATCCCTTCAGACTCCTACAGACGACTCATAGCCACACGAATTTGCTTTTGACAGATATGAAAGCATTCTATGTCTATAAGTGAGTATAAACTAGTGAAATATAAGACATGAAAAAAATATCAAAGGAAATTGAACAAAAAATAATGCTCAGGTCCCACCGAGATTTGAACTCGGATCGCTGGATTCAAAGTCCAGAGTGCTAACCATTACACCATGGGACCTCTGATTTTACTTTACGAAATGTCGATACAGATTACAAGTAATTTTTTTTATTGATTTATTTATATTTTATATCATTATTTCATATTCAATAAATTAATTAATACCAATATGGAAGTCTTGTCATAAAGGGTATATTTTTGGGATTTCTTCATTATTTCATAAACTCAATATGTTGTTACTATAATCTAGATGGCGTTGTCCATACATGCTTTTAGAGGTTAGTTGCTAATTTAGTAGTGGTGTTTGGATGTAGTGCCATCTATCCAGAGTAATTTAAACAACTGTTGTATTTATTGCCATGGTCCTTAACAACTTTTCTTAAAATTTTAGTAAATATCCTTATAGAATATATGGACTATTTTAGTATTCAACTATTTTATTAAAGCGGTATTTAGTTTGGTAAATAATAAAAGACAAGTGAAGTAAAAATTTCATTTGATTTTATTTGTAACAATAATTTGATTTGAATAAGGATTGACATAAAATAATTTAATGCAGTAACATTTATTAATATAATTCAATTATACAGACCAATGTAAAGTAATTCACTGAAAGGTATTCCGTCCATTTTATTTAAATTACTGCATGGTAGAAAATGAATTTATTAATTAGTAACACTGAAATTCTCCGAATGACAGTTTGTCACTGACTTCGCTGTTGTATGGTTGTCATTCGATCCTCTATACAAAAACGTGATAGATGAATGGAAAATAATTAACAAAAACACAGCGATAGTCTGTTAAAACTTAAACGAAATTTGTCGTCGTGGGTATTTTAATAAAAGTGAAAATTCCCGTGCAGTGTACACTTCAATAGGACACCGCCATGATCGATGTGGAAAACAAAGATGGCGGAATAATACGGTGATCAAAACGCGTTATTGTATAGCGTTATGTGCGGTGGTAGGTGGAGGTTGCAACAGTGTCGGGACCCTTGAACGAGGAGGAGAGGCGCGATGGAGGCGAGGCCGGGGTAATGCCGCCGCGGCCTGCGGCCGGCCGCGCGGCCATGGCGGCCGAAGAAGAACGAACGCCGTTCCCTCTATTTACCGCCGTCTACGACTATGTAGCACAAGGAGAAGATGAGCTCTCTCTTCGGAGGGGTGAAATCGTGGAAGTCTTATCAAAAGACTCTAATATATCGGGCGATGAGGGCTGGTGGACGGGCAAAATCGGAGATCGCGTCGGTATATTTCCTGCAGTCTACGTGACCGAAGAGGATCCCCTAACTGTAGAGCCTCCACAAGTATCGTTCAGCGAACTGAAACTGGAGGAAGTGATTGGAGTGGGTGGATTCGGTAAAGTTTATCGTGGATACTGGAACGATGAGGTCGTGGCGGTCAAAGCCGCACGACAGGACGCAAACGAGGATATCGATGTAATTAAAGAGAGTGTTTTACAAGAAGCGAGACTCTTTTGGGTGTTAGAGCATGAGAATATAGTGTCATTGAAAGGTGTTTGTTTAGAGGAGCCAAATTTGTGTTTGGTGATGGAGTATGCTCGCGGCGGGCCCTTAAACCGAGTTTTGTCCGGTAGAAAAATTCGACCCGATATATTAGTGGACTGGGCGATACAAGTCGCGCAAGGGATGGAGTATCTACATTGTGGTGCACCAATGTCACTCATACACCGAGATCTGAAGAGTTCAAATGGTATGTTACCTAACCTAATAAGTCTTTCTTTTAAAATTATGTTACAAATAATAGTTGAGCAAATATATTTGGTAACCTCATAAGGTAAAGATGATTTCTCAGAAGAGTTCAACAATTCATAAGTATTATTATGAATAGAAAACACAGAGACCAATATAAACAATATTGGTCTCAGTGTTTTCTATTCATAATAAAACTTTACGAGACAACTCATTACTTGTATTCCTTTTACATTGGGTTAGTGACAACCTTCTTAGCATTCCATAGAACCATTGTATGGATACTGGATCTCACACACTATTTTGAGAGAAACTCTAAATAGTGCATGAGACTTGTGACAGGGGTTTAGGTTTAAAGGGTTCTTTTAGAATACATTAACACTCATGCATGCATTTATTTTACTTATTTCTTTATTTAATTCAGGCTACAGGGCCTAACATTCTTAAGAAATAATAATAATAAAATATCAATTAAAATTGTCTCAGTGGTCACTGATAATGGCAATCTGCCATGGTAGCACCAATACACCACCTCTTTGGGTCAGTAGTCCTCTTTCATGAATGTGGCCAGCATGTTAGTGGGGACCCAGTTCACAAATGCTTTGAAGCTTGCATTGTGACTCTATTCCAGCCTTGTCACCCTCAGTGTCAGGATACATTTGGCCATGTAGTTGACCATGACCTTTAAGCTTCCCACTTGTGGCACTCTCCCTACTAAATCCAGCAACCCACCAATTCTTCCAATATTTACAATTTCTATTGACTATACAATTTACAAATAATGGTACAGGATATTTAACACTTTGTATATTATGTATGTGTTTAAAACAAGTGTTTATAATAATAATAACCCAAGACAATGCACAGAACATCATCTAGTCCAAAGTTAAGCCGAGCTTGATATGTTTTGGTTGTGGATAGGAATGGAATGGTTGAGGGCAGGTCAGTTACCCCATTGTGGAAAATTTACTAGGAGTTCATCATGATGATAACCAGGGTAAACCCGTGGAGGTCAACTTGAGGGTACATTGTTAACAATGGTTTCACTAGTACACATTACTAACAAACATCTTCCCTCAGAATTTCTGTTAGGAATAATAGACAACTAATGTGAATATATAATTTTTTTTTTTTAAATATGTGTATTATACACACAGGAAACTCCCAGACTAATACAACAAAATCATTCTCATGAATACAAATGTTTGTACTGTCAAGAGGAGTCGAACCTGCAACCATTGAAAGTAAGCTGTTGTATGAAACTGCTAGACCATAGAGGCCATATTATATCAGTTGTCTAGTACTCATAACACAAGCTCTACTTAGCTTGAAACTATATGGTGCTAGTTGTTGCTAGGTGAATATACTAGGTCATATAATATTTAATCCTTTAATTGGCCAATTACTTAACATGTTTTGATAGGCAAAGGTCACATAGTGGTAAAATAAGGTAATGGTAGGTCACACACCTATTCATAAATTAGTTACTGTGGTAGAGAAATAACTGTATGGTATTATATAGATTCAGATTGATATGTTGCATGCATACTACTACTGCTTTACTAAACAATTATAAATTTTGGAAAATCAACTTATAGCAAAAATTTGTTAGATTCTTTGCAGGTTAAAATTAAAAGATTTTCTTGTTATATATCACATGTGTCTAACATGACATGTCCATATTATTATTAAGTAGATCTATGCATGCAGACGAAATTTGTTTGCATCACACTTGATATTTATCATTATATTTCACCCAATTTACAGAATATCTTTTTAAATTACCATCCATCCATACTCAGACATTTTTACATATATAATATTACTCACATTTAAGAAAAACTAAAGTCTTTGTACATTTATATGTACAATTATCAACTTATGTTTGCAGTTGCATCCAAGCAAATTTATTAAATAGCATAAACATAATAAACTTCAGAGTAGATGAAGTTTAAAATTTATGAATGAATGGATAAGTTTAATAACATGAATGTAATTTAACTATTTATATTATGGCAAATACTTTCCTTAATTGTAAACCAACTTACTCATTATTTACTAAAGACTTGAATAACATCCTATTACAATAATTGTACAAAAGACAGTGTTATAAAAAAGGTACCATTATTAATAATTAATTTGTAACAAAAGTTATTGTTATTAATTTATAATTGATTTTCCTAAACTTAATTATAAGACTTTATAACTTATAAGGTTCGAATATAATCACATTTGGTATTAACCGAGGAAAATGGTTTGCTACAAGACTGTTCTGAACATGTAATTCATCATTAATTTATTTTAGTATCTATTTGAATTACCCCCTATTTAAATTTATAAAAAATACCTTTCTACTTTATATATGTGCACTAGTATGATAATGTAACCTAGGGTGTTCTATGAGTAAATATTTAAATCAATCCTCTTTATATTGAATCCCAAATAGGAATGCCATGTTATTGTAACTTGCTCATAATCTATGTGGGTTTTTATTAGGTGAAAGAATTATTATTATTGGCCCAATGTTTTTTGAATTCATCAGCATATAAAAAAAAACAATATTTCCTCTTTCTAGTGATGTCTGCGTTTTATTTCTCCTGTTCATTTTTAGAGGCTATCTATTGACGTAATCAAATAATATAAATGAACAGAACATTTACACAACGCCATCTATTATTTTGTGAATTAATTAATTGAATTAATTATTCATAGTAGATGGAGTAATTAAAACAAATAAGGAAAATGGGTAATTTACTCCTTTGGGGGATATTTAGGGGAGATCTTCAGCTTATATATGTATATTAGCTTATATAGCTAACATTTAACCATATTTTGTGTAAATATCAACCTAATTCTTCTAGTTGCTTTTACGTGAAAGCTTAACACGCAAACAGGCCTTCCCTCGATTTTGTTGCCGTATCCATAAAAAATGTAATAATACTTCCTTTTAATAATAGTTTACAAAAAATAACATTTTCTGTCGTGGTTAAACTATTTACCATCACGAATAAAAAAAAAATGTTTCAGTATTAGTATAAAATATCTTGTAAAAAAGAAATAAAAACATTTGATATCCTTTGATAAATTCTAAATATGAAGGCCATATCTCATATTGTTTGTTGTGAATTATCATAATGTCGGAAACTGCGCATTCCTTGTACTGATAAGCTGATATTTTGGCAAGATAATATCAAGGAACTGATTGTGGAATAACTTCTTATTATACATACATACGTCTTAAGTATGCAAGTATGAAACATATGTGGTCAGAACTGTAATCCGAGACGGGGTATTCAGAAGCGTTGTCAAATGTCGATTTTGTGGTGAACAGATATTACTAATACATTAAGTTCGTCTGTTTTTTTTTAATATTATATAGATAGCCTACGTCCATCCTCGTGATACAAACTGTTTTCATATCAAAATTCCCTATGATCTGTTCAGTCGTTTAATCTTGAATAATAACAAACATCCACAGTTTCACAATAATAATAATAGTAGGAATACTCATTTACTTATATATTTAATATTATTAAAATTAAAAATGTAAATTTACTCTTTTTGAGCGACCAGATACCTACTAACTCACGATTTTTGGTCGGGCAGTAAACCTAATGGTTAAGACCAATTAGTAAATTAACAGTATCATAAGCTATATTATTTTATCCAATTAACTCATTATTTAAGTATGTTTTAATTTAACACATGATTGCTCCTAACTTTACGAGTTTGATGATATATATAACACTACCTGTGTGCGCGGTTTTACCCGCGCGAAATTTATAGTTGTATGTTATTCTAAAGCTGTATCAATGTATTCCTATATATATATGTAAAACCGCGCATATATAATAAAATAAATTTACGTAAGGGATACTTACAGTCAAATTATGTCATAATTACTGCCTGATTTGATTGGAAGTGTTAGATTTTAATATGTGGGCGAGTACCAACAAAAATCAGCGTGGGTAGAACAATGCATATTGCATAAAGGGCTATCTCCAGTTTTTGCATGGACATTTGAGTTCAATAAAACCATATTGTTACTATGGTAACTTAAATATTCCTTGAAACATTCTAAGTACTATTTTGTTTGATATCCAAAATAAAATTGAATGACTTTGTATATCACTTTGGCGGTTCTATAAAAACGCCAAAGTAATATTTCTGGAGTTGTATTTTTTTTTTTCATTTTATAAATATTGAAATTTATATATTTTGTTTCATAAATTAAATACTTATGTCATTCAAAACAACAACTACAGTAACGGTATTTATTATATAACTATACACTATAAAACTGTTGCCGTAAATTCTACTCCAGTAGGGAATTCTTGATTACGAGTGAAGAATTCTGTTATTTACCGTTTGTCACGGCATAGTTCCAGTATCTAATTTATCTAGAACTACACCCATTATTTAATTGAAAATGTGTATTTTATTAGAACATTAAATACATCTTTTGTTAATTTTCCAAAATCGTCCAAAGTTAGGACGATATTGTATTAGTTAATGTATTTAAAAAAAAAACTATCTATATTGGAATTTCCAAATATAATTTAGTATATGTACTTACTGTTTACTAAGTTACTTACTTACTTAAATTAATTATACCATTTCCCATAAAGATCATATAGTTATAATATAAGTAAGGCACATATACTATGTGTCTTACTTATATTTTAACTATACAAACGTACTTTTGTAATTGTACTTCGTGTAATCCGTTAGCATATTATCATAACTTGATTGTAATAACGAAGAAAGTATTTTATCTTTGTCGTAAGTAAACAAAGCTAATAATATAAGGAGGCATGAACAAACCGCGGCGCACGCGCTAGTGTTGACTCGACAACCGCACCGTGTTATTGTAACATTGCCCATGCAATGCAACACCAGGAAATACGAAACTAAATTGGCTTGTTTGTCTCTTAATGTGGGGTGGGCTATTACACCAGTGGTAATTATCATAACGTTTTGTGGAGAATTTAAATCTTTTAA